ATTGGAGTGTTTTGTGCATAATATGATTTTAAATTGATTTTGGACATTCGTCTTTCCTAGCCAATGTTATCTCTAGATACTTGATGCTAAGGAGGAAATAGTATGCAGGAATTAAACTTAAATGTACAATGTACATGTTTTTACAGTATGATCATAATAATGTATTGGAGTGTTTTGTGCATAATATGATTTTAAATTGATTTTGGACATTCGTCTTTCCTAGCCAATGTTATCTCTAGATACTTGATGCTAAGGAGGAAATAGTATGCAGGAATTAAACTTAAATGTACAATGTACATGTTTTTACAGTATGATCATAATAATGTATTGGAGTGTTTTGTGCATAATATGATTTTAAATTGATTTTGGACATTCGTCTTTCTTAGCCAGGGTTATCTCCGGCTTCATAACAATAAGTATTAAACAGAGATGTACATTTGCAAGTTAATACAATTGATGATGATCAAAATAATTACTAGTAGATTTTGATCATTTCAATTCCATTGAAAGTTGAGCCTTAAAGCACCAGTACCAACAATATGATGGAGATGATTACAGTAAACTGTTGGAAAATGTTTAAGAAACTCATGTTTTTGCCATCAGTATGACTACCGGTATAGGCATTGATGATGGAATACACAATTCCAATCCCATCTAAGAAGCGCAGTGCATTTAGTTTCTTAGTCGCACCTCCCATTCCGCTCATTAAATATATTGATGTCCCCTGCAGCTCATTATCGTTAATGTTTCAAACCTCTCATGGCGCCGATAGGGATAGATCTAGAGGTGTATGTAAATATACATGTACATGTAGTCTACAGGTACAGACTCTGTTTTGACACTTGTATTCAATTCCAAACAGCCCTGAGCTGAGCGTAACTCTGTCGGTCTCTATCAGAGTAGATAGTGCAGAGCCTATGGGGTGCGGTAGACCGTGCAGTCTGCACCTAGTCTCCTAGAGTTCAAGCACTCTATGAAGCACTACCACAGACAAGGGTTTGCGCCTTCATACTAGAAAGATGGAGCGGTGTTCAGTGATGTATCGGTCCTCCCTTTTTCCCATCCATCCGTCCGGTATTGATCGGTAATAGAGAGCCTGTCTGATCAGCGTCAAGTCAGTCCTCTTTCAAGTTGGGATAGTCTTTCACCCAGACATGAACTGTCAGGGTTGATAAAAGAGTATGTTTGTCGTCTGCTTGTAAAGCCTTGTATGGCTTGAGTTCTGTACAGTGTATCGCTTTGTCTGCAAACGTGATATTGCAAGAACATGTAAGAAATGTCAGTTTTGATTCTTTACTATTATTTAAAAACAAATATCATTTATGCTATTAAAACTTGAGGGAGAAAACATAACGAAAATGTTTTATTTCAGTAATTCCATTTACAATGTATATCTCTCATGTACAATTGCTGAAAGGACATTGATTAACCCTACACTGTACAGGTGTAAAAGCACAGGTCTGAACGCCCTTCTGGCTCTCGGCAGGCAGATGAAAATGATTATCATTGTCCCAGGTGGCATTTTACATCATCGTCAGACATCATGGAGGTCATCATCTTTGTGGACATGAACTTCATCTGAACCTCATAGTGACCTTGGGTTGTCCAGCTTTCTGTACTGTGTCGGTACGAAGGGGGCATGATAGTGAGAGAAGTGCCTGCTTCTGTATATTTATGTGTACAATAAAATAGATGGGCTGTCTTCAGAGACGATCTGCCTTTAGATTAGAAATATTACCGGTATAATAATAATAATACACAACATTTATTAGGTGCTTAATACGGGTGTCTCTAATAAAAATAACAATGAGATCAAACATACATAAGGTCAAACATAGGATCGAACATAAGATCATACAAACAAGGAATTAGACGTTGTGCCCCTGCTTTGACCGACTCACAACTGCAGAATAACATTCATGAATTAAAAAGGTGCGTTTTCAGCATGGACTTAAATTGGTCAAGAGAATGAGTATTATGAAAATGCGCTTGTAATTATTCCAAAGGATAGGGGCATTTACCGAGAAAGCTTGATCACCATATTTGGTAACAGTACGAGGTTCAAGAGTTAACTGCAAGGTTGATGATGATCGAAGAGGTCTTAAGGAACTAGAAGAACGTAAGGAAATCAAATCTGAAAGATATTTAGGGGCTTGGCCATGGAGAATTTTTAACCGGTATCCCTATATGAGGTGGGTTTTTTGTGCTTATTTTAAAACTTTGGTTAGATTTTGCTTCATTCTTAAGCTCCAAATTTGTTAAAGCCAATACCAAATGTTTTCCTTTTTTTGCTTCTGTCTTCTCTTTGCGAAGTAGGTTTTGATAATATGTATTTGTACATGTATAGTACTATTATAGGTACTTGAATAAGAGCATATATATTCAATGTTGTTTACACATGTATAGTCCATTTAACCCATTAAAAATAATTGATTTTCATATAAAGCACATTCTCCATGTACTCCAGAGTCCAGGTCAAGCTATCTGGGGGTTTCTATGCAGCTGGATATTTAAGGATCTAACTGAAGCATGAAATGTGGCATTTTCATACTTGTCTGAATCTGTAATTACTTAGCCTCTTTTCCCATTCAGACTGATGAAGAATCAGGGTCCACTTCTAGCATGATCATCGGACAACTGTACAAGTGGATGGGGCATACATGTATTATACATGTATAAAGTGCATTGTATATGACTGGCCAGGTGTCATCTTGCAAGATAAGATGACACCAATGGTGTCAGCTAAGCTTACATCTTTAATACTACATGTAGTTTCTTTAAGTGATACTTTTTCATGTTTAGTCTTTGGTACTCTACAATTCTTTATTTGATGTTTCTTTATTGATACGAGTTGCGCTCTAATTTCTTTAAGTGTGAATGGGCCATTAGTGGAAGTGTTGGAGGAATATTGTAATCTGATATGCATGAAATCTGGCATTTTCATACTTGAAGCGTTGTCGGAAGCAAGATGACAGGTCCAGAGAAAGGCTAGCAAGTCAATTTCATGGTCAACACTTGGGATCATCAGGAACCTTGTACTTTTCTTCTCTAAGAAGTGGGAGGAAGGAAGTGGTTTTGACGAATGATTTCTGAAGAGGTTCACCCTCGAGAACTTGAGTGCTGTGGAGAGAGAGAGAGAGAGAGAGAGAGAGAGAGAGAGAGAGAGAGAGGGGGAGGTCATAGATAGTAAAATGGGAGATGGAGTGAGTTAGAGAGGGTTAAGGAGAGAGAGAAAAGGATATGAGAGAGAAAGAAGGAAAGAAAATGGGGTAGAGAGAAAGAGATGAAGAGAGAGTGAGAGAGAGGGGGGAGGGGAGACCTCACAGACTGAGTATCATAAGATAAAGAGTCACAACTCACAAGGATGTACTGTATGTACAAGAGAAAGAAAATCATTTTAAATATCAATACACTATGAACATAACTGACAAAGAAAGCGGACAAAATATACAGTTCCTCAGGTACACAAAGGAACATCCCTTCACTGCTATTATGTACAAATGTGTAGAACAGGTGTCACATGCATATTCACCTTTTTACATAATAGCAGTGAAGGGATGTTCCTTTGTCTACCTGAGGAACTGTATATTTTGTCCGCTTTCTTTGTCTGTCATTTTCATAGTGATAGTCATGCTGTACTCATTCATGGTGCATGTTGCAGCGTATCTACTTTTGACTTCCCAAGGAATGCCATATTTCATATGATGCTTTTAAAAATGTAAGAATGTCTTTTAAGCTTATTCACATCACAGATGTTTCTCCATGCTTCCTTTAGCAGTTGAAGCAAACTTCTTCAGTTCCCCCTGAAAATGCGACCTTTTAAAACACTTCATATGGGCACCAAAACCAGTTTAAGTTGGTGCATGAATTGTGAAACATTCACTGATGGTTTAATTAAAGAGAAAGCTTTTTGATTTCCTGGGTAAATCAACGATATTCAGAGTTCGTTTTGGATATTTTCTGTGTTTAGAGGTAGGATCTTGAAAGAACAAGGGGAATGGATTTGCTGATAGATAAGACAGGATATTGAATTAATTATGCAATTGATGCCGACGCCAAAACACATTTTAAGTGTAATATGATAGCAGACCTATGGAAAATGGCAATTCCTGTCAGATGTGACTAAAGGCCTTGAAAGTTATTTTCTTTTTATATGTGCATCCTCTATAGATAAGAAAGCAGGCCCTTTGCTGAATGAAGCCATTTTGTTCTTGTTCCATTCAGGCTTCTGAATCTAGTCTGTATGTCAGACCCGAATGACAAGTCACTGAGGACAAACAATTGGAATGGGTCTCCCAGATAAAATCTTGACTTGAAATTTGTCTTAATTTTGATTATAGCTGCTTAAGGACAGTAAGCTCTTTTGCTGGATGAAGGTATTTCATCTATGGAGGTTCTTGGAGCAAGTCTTTAGTTTATGTCAGACCTTGTGTGATGGGCATCACCAACGAAAATGAGAATTGGACATTCCTAATTGGGCCTTGGAATTAATTTTGTTGTCAGCTAAAAGAGACACTGTTGTGTAGGAAGCATTTCTGCTTGAAAGAAGACATTAAACGACATATAGTCTAGATATATGACCTTGGATGACTTTGCTGAAATATGATTTTCTTCAGTAGGCACTTCAGCAGTCTTAATTTCAGAGTAATCGTACCATGGATGACCGACATAAAGAACTAAAGTTGGCTACCTGTGTGTTCCGTGCTCCTGTCTCTTTGACACAAATAAATTGTAGAAATATGCTTGGCCAATAATAGACATGTGATAATAAAAGTGACATTTGTATGCAAATAATCTTTGGTAAGGAACTTACAGTACATGAATTTTTAACCTTAATTTTTTGGATGATGTCTGCCTTTAGTGGGGTACAAATTAAAGTAACATTTTTCTTGAGAATGTTCATCTTCAGAAGATATGAACATCCGTACTTCTTCTTACAAATTAATTAGTCTTCAAAATGGCTCTTGTGAAATTAATTTATATTTTGTATCCCCTTACAGATAAGCAACTCCGTGATGCCCTGGACAACAGCCACATGAGACACTTGCAGAAGGTCCCCACCCCTCTGGTAGCGGACGAACTCTATCAGCAGAAGCCCATGTACCCCTTGATCATCTACAACCGGGTGCCCAAGACTGGTAGTACGTCCTTCACCAGCCTGCCCTACACACTGTGTGAGACACTCAAGTACCATGTGCTTCACGTCTGCACAGAGTATCACCTCCAGGTGCTGTCCGTTCAAGACCAGGTGAGTTCCCTAGACCATGTTAATGATTTTGTTGTAGGGCTTGTGGACCCTACCATCAATAGGGCACTTTCGAAAACACGACAGCAGCAAAGAACACTGGAGAATTACGGCGATACAACTCTTCCGTCGAGTTTAGGGAACGAAAGCGACCATGGCCGCGTATGGCTGTGAAAATCACCAAGACGGAGAAAATTCTGGTTCGAGGATGCGCAGATTGTCTTTTCGCTTGTGTTACCATCGTCTTTGCCTTCTGTCGTGTTAGCGAAAGCGCCCTAGTAGTAGGTCCATGACTCTTCATGATGTGTGAGACACTCGAACACCAAAATGTTTCACATCTGCATCGTGGATCACGCCAATTGCTGTATATTCAAGGCGAGTTCCATAGATCCTAATAATGCAGTTTGGCTGTGTGTTGTGCCTCTAGTAAGGCTAGAGAACCATGCATCCTACAGTATGTGAGACCTTCAATTTGATTCAAATATCATGTTCTTTACATCTACACTGTGGATAACATTCAAGTGTTGTCTTTGAGTTCTATAGATCCTGATAACAAAGGTTGAGGATATACATTTGTACATGTACCTCAGGTAGGGCTAGTGAGCCTGGCCTGCACCTTGTGTGTGATGCTTAAACTAGCTTAGACCCTGTCAGAAGTGAAAAATGAAATAGATGAATTATATATCAAAGGAAAGCTTACAAGCCATTGATTACAATAATACCAATTATATGCTACTTTAGTGCCTATCAGACAAGTATTAAACTGCTCTCTGAAAACTTGAAATCTAAAGCTTTGAAAATCGGGAGTTGTCGACCTACTGTATGTACTCGGTCAGTGCAATTAATTGTCTGTAGACCAGATGAGTTCCTTAGATCCTGATTACGAAGGTTGCTTGGTGGTCATGCCTTTCATAGGGCTAGTGAAACATATAGCATCTGTCAGCGAGAGCCATTATGACACTCGTCACATATATGTATACGTGCACAGCTAGCTTCATGTGTTTCACCACTTTGTTGTCTGTTCAGGACTGGTTGAGGTCCATAGAGGTTGATATAGCAGGCCATGTTTAAGTAATACGATGTGATACATCTTTTAATTATCAAGAAAACAGTAGATTAAAGTTTCTCATTGAAATTATATCTTGCTAGTTGCTTCTGTCATAAGTAAATTTATTTCTCAATTAAAAAAAACTCACTCAACATGAGAAACATGACTGTCGATTGCATTTGATTAAATTCATTTTCCCTTTTTCTTTTTTTACAGTGATCAAATACATTTTGCAAGATATGGACTTTTAATAGAAATATCAAAATGTCATACTTTCAAATTGTACCACAAAATTTAGAAGTAAACTGACCTGAAGTTTTTGAATGAAAGTATTTTCCAACCTTTACTTTACTCCCTGTTGTCAAATGCACCGCACACATATATTGTGTATGTACGAAATGTTGTGCTTGCAGCGACAAGGGGGGCTACATGTAACTTCAATGTACACATCTACCCTTAACATAAATTCATTTGAGCCCAGCTAAGCCTTCCCGTACATATGTGAATTCAGAAGCAAATAGGAGTAATGACATTAAATTGACGCCACAATTATCATGCAGTGGGGGCAAAACTAATAACTAAGGCCAACAATTGCTTGTTTGCCGAGCAATTGAGACATGGCTGCATTATGGGAGTTTGGTGAAGTGGGTGAAAGGAGGGGGTCCCTCTGCAGTGCTAGCTGTGCGTTGAGTGTAGTGTGTTTTGAAGGAATGTGGAAAAGGGATTTTGACAAAAACTGTACTCCTAAAATTGCATGTTTTATACAAAGGAATTGAAATGAAAGGTGCCAATGTTTATTGAGAAGTAACTTGATTTTCTATCTTATAAATCATAGATTCTTCTCAATTAGTAAGATCTGCATGGGCAGCTAGACACCAGTCACCATAATTATCCTTAAAATTTGAGTAACTTGTGGTTTCTAAATGCCTTGAAACATTTGGCTCTCTTCATGTTAATGTGTTTTTCAGAGAATGTAATCATGCCATGGTATTCATCTTTAGTGATGAAACATTGTTCGATCTCATCAGTTATCACTCATGTGATATTTGACTTATTTGTGTTTCTCTGTCTTTATTGTGAAAATATGGCAAGAAATACAAATACGGTACAAATATGTTGGGAATTTGAATAACCATGACAAACAATTCAGTAGTAGAAAACAAAACAAACAAGACACTAATAAATCTCTCTATGCCCTGATAAGAAAAAAGTTTATTTATATCTTCCTAGTAAAAAAAAAAGCCTATAATATACAAGTTTCACTGCATTGTGATTCATTCAAAAGGAATTTATGGGACTACAAGTCTTAAATGAAGTTATTGAAAGTAGACTCAAATGCTCAAATCAAGCCTTAGCAACAACAATCCCAACCAACATATTAGACACAATGTACACCTGTAAGCAGTAAGCAGTCATCAGGGTTCGCACTCGGTCGCTCGGTCAGCCAGCGCAAAGGGACTTTCCAATCCTATTAGAGGGTAGAAGCTGACTTCCGAAAACTTCAGGGATTTCTTTCTTTGGACAAAGCGCTTTGTTGTGGGTGAAGCCTGCATTTGCTGGGTATGAATGAATAATAGAGGGAGAATGGAGTGAGAAAATTGGAAGGAGGTTTAAAGGTAATAATGACATCATATTTCAAGAGAAACTGTCTTACTTATCATAACTAAAATTTCCAAATGTAAGGGATTTCTGTCTTTGGACAAAGTACTTTGTTGTTGGTGAAATCAGATGGCTGGATTTCTTAAGTGAGGTATATAATTCAGTATATTGCATTTCAAAATAAATTCATGCTCAATTCAAACACATATCATTACTTTTAAGAGTCTTATTAGAAATGTTTACTGAATGCACAGATAAATACATGGTGGTGTTCTTTTGTAGAATATTCATTTCATGACAGCACAACTTTTCAATTGTATGAATGAAGGAACAGCCTTGGGGTAGAAATAATGAAGTCTGGACAAGATATTTTCTTGTAAATATATTATCAGGTACAATAGAAAGTAATTACATGTACATGTGAAAAGGAGCTACATGTACATGTTAGATAATGTTCTTACAGGGAGTCATGACTCATGAGTTAAAGGAAACCAAAACCTTCACACTAAGTTACTTTTATTGTGAAGTTTAAAAAATTTGAATCAAATCAGTGAAAATTTGAAGAAAATCGGGCAAGGAATAAGGAAGTTAGAGCTTTTTGAAATGACTAGTCACTAGAGGGCGGTATTCAATTTGATGACATCATCTGTGAACAACTCTCCATGCCTTTTGTACATAAAATTTCACAATTTTTTTGTTTTCTTCGTATTTATTTGTGTTCTTGATCCGACTTCATAACATGTGAAGTAGAACATCATTTTGCATTCTATATCTTGCTTTCAGGGGAGTACATTATCTCGATCACAAGAAAGAAGGAAAAACATGAAATTTGATGTACAAAGGCATGGAGAGTTGTCCACAGATGACTAGTAATTTCAAAAAGCTCTTGCTTCCTTATTCCTTGCCCGATTTTGTTCAAATTGAAGGTTTTGGTTTCCTTTAAGCCAATGTAATGATGATAAATGATATTTTCCCCTAAATTAACTGAAATGTTTAAACTCGAAAGAAAATGATGAGAATAATAGAGAAATAATTTCTTTAGAAAAGGTTTTTTAAAAAACCCAGATTAGCAGCTGAGTCATAAATAATGTATGCTCTTATTATCTTGAATGCTATTATTTATGATAGAATTCTTTTCATCATGACCAATCAAAAACTTCACAGTACACATAGATTCTTATTTACTACATGCCCAGTTGCATCCAGATAGTTTCTTTTACAAATTGTTTGACCATAACTCTTTTCCCTTCTTTAAACTGTCCAATATCCGGATTAAAGTGCCATTTAGTCTAGCCGACTAAGTAGTACTTTAATGGTTTCTATATAGATGAGAAACCCTGTATATGTGTGCCATTATCTATTTTCCTCTTTTCATCTTGAAGAGGAGTATAGGGGGAGGAAGGATAAACAGATTTTGAAAGGAAGAATGAGGAATGACTATGTTGTGTTAATTGCATGTGAAATGAGGTTTTACCATCTTGGTCAATAATTAGTGAGTCTTGAGAATGGTATGTAGATTTGTTTACTGCCTTGGGAGCGAGTTGAATGTGACAACATGTTTTCAATCTGCATACAGCACCCAAACCTCTTCTATGGTGAAACGGCTATTTATAGTGTCTCACTGTTGATGTGGCTAACCTATTAGATGTAAAAGTGTACATACAAATTATGAACATGAAAATATGGGCCAATATCCAACATTATGCAAAGACTGTAGTACCGGTATCTAGATATTATTTGAGATAAAATTCAAATTCCAACTATTAAGATGAAAGAAATCTATTTGAAAGAAATGTACAAAACACATAACTTTGATAATATAAGATAACAGTAGTCCATTTGGCACACTAGTAGTCCTACTCATGCATATTCATGAGCAAAGATTTTGATATAATTATTTCTTATACTTTTGGTTATGCTTTTGTTACCACAGAATACCACACTTCTTGAGTTTAAAGTGACCTTTAAAATTGAGCTCACTCAGGGTTTCATGTCTCATAAATAGGCTTTAATAGGAAGGTAAAATTTACAGATTGTGGTCAGCTGGGAAGTTTGATACTATTCCAGATCAGATAATAAAACATCCTTCCTTCTAGGTTATGAAAATAAAAAGGCCCTGATATAGAGAAGAAATGTGATGAAGTACATGTAGGCCTAGTCACAAAACCGCATACTGAAACATCTATAAATACTTCTTGAACTTAAAGCCCCACTGCACTACTTATAGCTACTTGCGCCCTCTATATAGCAAACAATGCCTAATTGGTGACCATTGGTCCCCCTTTTTCTTATGTTAATTGAGAGCTGATTTGAGGAGATAACCACCTGTCAGTTACCATGCAGAGAGGTCTAATCC